GGGGGGGGGGGGGGTCCAGTGCCATTCTATGTTCAGGGGCACTCCCCCTCCTGCCTGCCTCCCATCTCCTCCTGTCCCATTTACCCCTTCCTTTGCCCACTATTGCTGCTGCCCTAGCAGTCCCAGGGGTGACTGGAGCCCCAGAGCCCCATCTTCCATGCTCCAGCTGGGTTGCACAGGGAGCTGGGATTAGCAGGGGACAACAGTAGTGATGATGGCAGGGGGTTCTCTCTCCTTGTGTCTGGTGGGGAACACTGGAGGGGATGGGGCAGGAAGGATGAGCCTCCCTGATGCTGCTACAGCTGCTGTTCCCAGATGAGACCACATCCCTGTGCAGCCCAGCTGCAGCGGGCAGGAGAGACTCTGGAGCTCCCTGCCCCAGGAACACTGAAAGGGGGAGGGGGCAATGGGAGGAGAAGTGCTGCCGAGTATGGAGTGGAAGAGGGGCAGGGGGAGAATCCTTACCTGATTCAGGGACTTAAAAAAAGGTCCTCAGTTTCTTCTCCTGCAGTGTGGTCTGAACATGGGGCCATGACTACACAAGTGGACTCCTCTGGATCTCCCCCTGCACCTGCATCTTTCACTGGATACCCAATTCCAGTTCAGCATCTCTTCTCCAACTAGGTAGAGGCTCACAACTTAGAACAGACTTGAACCTGCTTATAATTGCAACTGGGGGTAAATTAGCTCTAGCATCTGGGGGCATCACAACTTGGTACTCCCTTTATGATGCAGATTGCTTTGTGGAAATCTTCAGAAATTTAGCTGGAATATACTTATCCAATTAGGTAGGGTTTAGTTTTGATTCAGTGATCTTGCAGTTATTACTGACAATGTGCAGCTCAGTGGCAGATCCAAACTACTGTATTGAGCATACATAGAGAGGTGCTGTACTTTGTGAATAGCTAGTCAGTCACAGGTCTAAAGGTCTATAACAATCCTCCATGGGGAATGTGTCAATCAAAGTAACTAATCTTATTCCAAACACTTTGGATGAGAGCATGTAAAATCCAATTACTTTACACTTCTCAGTTATAATCCTAGACCAGCCAGATGAAAGAAACTAATTTATCTGGTAAGTACTGCTTCATGCTCCCTTCAGTCATTACACAGGTATTTTTAAACTACTTATATGGCTACAATGCTATCAGAAAATAATCACATTGTATTTGCTATTCTATTCTATACGGTTTATACAAGCCAAGA